TGTGTAGGTGCAACTTGTGCAATATGTAGTTGCATTTATGGTAAAACCAATATTTACGATAAATATAGTTGGTGCAAAACAATAAGGCTAAAAACAAAGAGTCAAGCGTTGGTGTAGCACACTTTGTCTGGTCAAAATAAACGCGAGCCATTACACCATAATCATTATTTTGTACGAGCCAATGTGTGCACACATGTATGTATGTATGTATGAATTACCCACAGCATGCGCTTTGACTACCAAGCTAAAAAATTGCAAAATTGTTGGCAGAAACACAAATTGAGTAGGAGAAATACGGAAATTTTAACGAAATTGATTTTGGTACATATAAGTCGTTAATAGACACGAGTCACAGTCACAGTTAGATAACTGCCATGGACGAACTTGAGTTTAAGCTCTAACGAATGACCGACCAACATGGTAGCAAGCCTAAGAGACATACACCTTTGGTTAATTTTTAAAACTATATAATGAATTAATAGCACCTTAATCTAGGCAGAGATTACTATATTCGAGGTGGTAGCCAAACGAGTGGTAATACACGTGCACTTGCGGCAGGGCCATGGTTCATGGAGGGCCCAACCAATGCACAAGTCTTCATTGCTTAGGCGAGGGAGCGCATCTTAGAGCAGAGAGGACCAGCTGTACTTCTTCATTCTCCTATTCAGAGTCGGAGCCGGACCATTCACATACAATTGCTATGAATCGGGAAACAGTTAACTGCCCACGATCCCTCAGTGACGGCGTGAGTCTCGTCTCATTTTCCTAGTAGAAGAAGACGAAACACAAACAAAAGAAATCTTCATGTGTAGTTGTCGGCACTCAACCTTCAGTTGTATCTCCCAAGGGACCGCAGTTCACGAAAATTATATCGATGAAACCAATGGCCACTCAGCCGGCGATATGAAGTTTAGCACTTTGGAGGGTGTCATGCTCCACATTCTGGATGGAGACAATAACCGCTTTCCACGGTGTACAAGTCGGCCACTCCGCCAGCCCACTTAACCTACAGTTCATCTAGTCAACTACCTTAGCTTGCAGTTTCCTGTCTGTCAGCAGTCGTCCCTGACTTCACGAGAGGAAGCTAAAAATTTCTTTGATTGCCTTTACACTTTGGAATACGCCAGTCTGCTGCAACCTGAGCGTCCTGCCTCCTTCTAAGGAACTCTGCCGTGTATCCATTGAATGAACCGTAGAAAGACTGAGGCTCCACATTTCGCGTGATTATCAGCTTTTGTTGCCATCAAAGCCTTCCCACCACAAGGTTACTGGTTCCTAGCTTGCCCAGTACACTTTTGCAACCGTCTACGAGCGTTTCAGCATTTCAAAGTTCCCCCAGTACTAGCATTAAGTTTGGATCATTTAGTGAACCAGGTTTGGATCATTTAGTGAACCAGGTTTGGATCCTTTAGTGAACCAGAATTCACTGACTATTGTCATTACGACCACTTAAGGAAGGAATAACCTCGGTAGCATTGCGTATGTAAACTTGGCAACGGAATCATTGCTGAATGGTTTTAGGAAGCTTAAGATTGTCCTAGTGACTCTGCTTTTATGACGCTTTGATCCTTTCTCAATGAGCTTGGCTAGAGCCGGTATGTCGATAATGATCACAAGCGCTTCTGTTGGGCATGTGCCAGCCGGTGGAGCTTACCCAGAGTGACGCCGAAGATTACTTTCTTGAATTTAGCACCGAGCCGAGCGGCAAACATATGTTATTAACCCCATAGTGAAGGGCGAATTTGTCAAGTCCTAGGACATTTTCCAAGATTGAAAATCAAGTCTTTGACAAGCCTAAAATGCCTTTGGGGCTTTCTCTCTAACCATTATGAGATGTGAGTTCTAGTTCTGCCTTTTATCAAGGGTCGCCCCTAGATATTTGGCCAATTGTGGGAACTCTATCTCCGTCCCTTCCAATTTAGGTTTGCTCAGGTAAACCTTTTTTTCTTTTGGTGAATTCGACGATGATGGCGTCTGCACTTTATTCCCTGCCCTATTGTTCTCTCGGAATGTGATTCGAAAAGGTGTTATCGCTGCTACCGAGAGTGCGTGTATTGCGGAAGTTTGTGGCAAGAAAGCCCATTACCCTTTTGTGTCGATGTAATGAGAACTGGGGTTAAGCAATATGGTCTATTATTGCAACCAGGGTTTCTGGCGAGGGTAAATGCAGTTAGGCGCGGTCTGGTCAAGAGGCCGGACGATTTGCTATTCTGTGACGGTAAAAAAGATATTCTTGAAGCCTTTTAAGGCGGTTCCCCACAAAATCCCTAAGCGTTTAAACTACGCGTATGTGGTCTGCATGGCTTAAGTGCTTTCGAAATCCTTTTTGACGAAAACTCGGTCAGACCGAAAGCTTGTCTTATGGCCTACTGCCACTTTACCGCAACCAAGCTTGTCAAATTCTTGCATCAGAGCTTGTTTGCTGCAGAATACTACTACCAGAATGTTGGTTTGATCTAATTTTATGAAACCTGGTTAACTTTTATTCTCAACAATTCTGAAGCTTATAGCATTAGAAGTTGAGGCTATCTGGTTTAGTCAAAAAAAAAAAAAAAAAAAAAAAAAAACTACTGGACCGCTTCCGGTTCACTCCCGACTAGCTATCCATGAGATTAACGTATCCAGGAGTAGCTGAGATTTGGTGCTGACATGTGCCAATGAACCGAAGGGCTATGCTTAGTACTGAAACTAGGAGGCAGCAACGATCACCCGTGGCAGCCTTGAATCTAAACCTTAAAAGCCTTGTGGCTTCCAAACGGAACCGCTGGAGTCATCAGAAGAATAATTTCTATAATGTAACCGTACCCATAGAAAACGAGGCATGTTGGTATGGACTGTGATTAAGCAGCTTAGCAAACATAAAGAGTATTTAGATGGGGCCACAATGCGACGGAAGTTGTTCTTTAATAAGCCTTACAGGGTCATAATGCCTGCGGGCATCACAACTAACAAAGAAGGATACATAAAATTTAAATCTTGATGAAACCAACTGGGATCACAAAAGTAAGATTCTGAGCATAGTATAAAAATGTCCGCAAAAATTAAAAAAGGGCGACAAAAATGGGGAATCTGTTAAGTACTTCTTATGCGATTGTCCGAATTTTCAAATGATGCGCTTTAGATTTCGGAAGAATCATTTGCTCATGGATCTGGACAGTTTAGACACAGACTCACTGGAGGTAATTTCTGGATTTGCCAAAGAATTGAAAACCTCTCCAGACTATCACAATGGGCCACTGAGTGTTATTCTGACATCAACATCCCGTCGGACCTAACCAAGATTACACCTTGAAGAACGGCTATCGTCTCCATCTAGAATACCGAACATAGCACCGTCTTACAAATCCAACTTGTGCACACAAATACAAACTAAAAATTCTTCTTGAAAAAAAACGTTTGATTTCACAAATCAGAGTGCATGTATGTACATAAGGGTGTCTCACAAAGAAAGTCTTTCCACCGGAAGTGTATAATATTTTAAGATTTCCACAGACTTCGGGAATATATTGGGCTGGACCGATTTGACATCTCATTTTTCTTTATTCCGTTGATGAAATGGTGAAACATTTATATGCTTACCTTTTAGGCTTGAACTCTTCTATTTGAAGTGATTTAAAAAAAAAAAACTATTTTTAAAAACTTTTTTTTTATAAAAAAACTAGATATTTTCAGGTATTTTCAAATCGGTCCAGCACACGTAAATCTTAATATATTTCCAAAATATTTAGGTAGGTGCCTTAAAATGTTATAGATTTTATAAATCCGATGCAAAAACAGTACGGATTTTTTTTTTGTATTGAGCGTGATGCACCTTAATGCACATCTTTATATGGAAATATTTTCTTATTGAGCAAAAAAACACAAACAAAATACAATTTTAAACGCTTTTAAATTATCTAAGCTTTTATTATCTCAAAAAATCAGAAATTTAGTTAAAGCATACTTTGCAACAAAGTTTAATGACATCAAAAAGGTAAATGGAAATCAACACGAAATGGGCGGCACAAGCACAACCTACCGCTGCCAAACTAAACATGGTTGGCAAACCAAACAAAATTGTGGAGTTCAAAGGGCAGCCTGCAGAGGTTATATGCTGCCATTGGCCAGGTGGTGGCGGTGTGGCATGGTCAAGTTACCGAGAAAAAAAATCCCAAGCAACAAAGCAAATACACGAATGGTAAACGGAAAGAAAAACTAAAGTGCTGGGCAGCTGCAATCGAATTGATTTCATAAACATACAAATGCATTTCTGTGATTAATTTTTGTGTTTTTTATACATTGTCTGATTTTTTAATTAATATTTTTTCAATCGATTTATAGTTTGAAATAAATTTTTTTTTTCGTAATTTTTAATCAATTTTTATGTTTTAATATTTTTTTTTTTGTTTTTCAATTATGCTTCATTTCATTCGCTTGAGTGAGCCCACTGTGTTCGCTTGATGTCTAATAAAAAGAAATTCACGCCTCTGCTGCTGAGTTAATTTGCCCTTCACTTTTTTAGTTACACTTTGATTGAAATTTTCCACTTTTTATTTTCGTATTGTAAGTCCCTGAAAAAAATACACTACAATTTATCGCTTGCATTCCAAGATGCATCAACATCAACACAACTTTGTCGTTTCACTCGTCGATTGATTGCTTGCTGTTGCATTACAAACTTTCTTGGTTGATTGGTAAGCGGTTGAACCAAATTTATCCTCAGAAAACAAAAAAAAAAATCGTATTACCGCTAATGCTGTTGTCGCTTGTTTCGCACTATTGGCAATATCGGTAATTCGAAAAAAAAAACGCTCGCTTGCTGCTCTAAACCGTTGCGACCGCGGCCGCTTTTACACGTTGACTGAAGTTCTTTAACTACTCAGGCAGACCATCAAGTTCCAAAGATTCTTGCGAAGTAGCAACAGCAATTCAGCAACAATAACAACAACAAGCTGCTACATTTATAACTTCTAAAAAAGGTAATGCCATAGAAGTCACTTTTTTCAACAATTTACACTTACGCTCACAACTGCTTTTTTATTTAGTTTTATTGGCTTCAACTGGTTTTCGAATGAATTTATAAATTTCAGTTAAATTATTGTTCTTGCGTTGAATGCGAAATTAAGTGCGAATGCACCAGCAATTCCATAAGCTTCCAACGCGTCCTACTGCTTGCTCGACATTGGTTCACTGCCAAAACGTGTTCTCGACACGAAGGTGGACAGCGTATTTAGCGTAAGCTACGACTACTATGCAGATTGCAACGTGACTACAAACAGCTGTTTGTCCTTAACACCGACAGAGTGAGAGCGAGCTCTCTTTAAAGTAGTTGCGCCAAGTTTGAAAGCAGCCCATGAGTGGGTTACAATGTTGCAGCGTTGCAGCTTATGCTAACTTATGGCCCAACATACGAGGGTTGAGTTTAAGTTTTTTAAAACCCCAAAATCCTGCTCAAAATTTGTTCTAATATACTAGAATTTAACGGGGCTATAAAACTGCACACCAAATTTTTTTCTAAAAGTTCTTATTAAAAAGTTTGAATTTTCGGTGCAAGTTTTTTCTTTTTGACTTTTTCCAATTTTTGTACTAAGTTTGAAATGTGGATTTATGTATATGGCGTTTGTTGTATAATGAGATTGATATTTATAAACATTAAATAAACAAAAGCAAAATACCCAAAACTTGTCAAAAAAGCAAAATTCCCGGTAGTTTTTGCTTCTATTGTTTGAGCATTGTTAACAATGAAATGTTAATTTTTTTCTTTTTAACGTGATTCTTTATACTTTTCACGTCTTCTCCGAAATATTTCGGTATTTTTTAAAGGGGTCTATTTATCATGTCTCAGAACTTCACGGCATTTTTTGCATACCTGACCCGTTAATGAGACCCTATAACGTTTTCTTGATTTTCCGGAATTATTTCGAGGTCGTTGGAAATTTTTTTTTTCAGACTATTTGGAATTCTTTCAAAATCTTTCGCAGTTTTTGAGTGCATTTTCGTTTTTTTGATAAACATACATTTTCTCGGCTATACCGGGATGTTTTCGAAACCTTTGAGAATTTTTCTGCGAAGTTGCAGGATTTTTTCGGAGCTTTGGAAGATTTTTTTTTACCCTTCAGACTCCTGACTTTTCGCAATCTTTTCGGGACTTAAAAAATTTTGTTCCGGCAATTTTCCGTACTTTTCGAGATTTAGGGCTTTCCTTATTTTTCGGATTTTTTCGGATACCTTTAAGGACCTTTCGGTCTTTTTGACAATTTATCGGGACATTCAGGAATTTTTTTGGGATGTTTTTCCACACAATAGGGATTTTTTGGCACCTTCCTTAACGGCCGTTCAGACTCTTGTTTTTTCGGAATTTTTTCGAGACCCTCTGAAAATTTTTCGGAATTTTTCGAGATTTTGGCAGCGCCTTTTGGGATATTTTCAGAACTCATCAAAATTTTTAAAATGTCTTGAATTTGTACTTGATTTTTTGAATTTTTTCGGAAACTTTCGGGGGTTTCCGGAACTCTTGGTATTTTTTAGAGACTTTTACAGCCCTTTTCGAGATTTTTGTGCACATTTCGGAAACTGACGCGGTCTCTTCGGATTTGTTTCAGAACGATTCGGCACCCTTCGGGCTTCTATCTATGGTTTTAAGAGCCTTTAGGGCTTTCTGGATGTTTCGGATTTCTTTTCGTGACTTTTCGGAATGTTTCACGATTTTTTCATGACTTTTTCGAGTTGTGACCCTTCGGAATTTTTTCGGACTCGCCTTACATTGTGTCAAGTTTGGTTTGGAGACAAACCAGTTTCGGCGTTGTGCCATCTTCAGTTCAAAAACACCTTATCACCCTGTTGGAGGAATCAACCAGCCCAAAAAAAATCTGGATCTTTCGGTATGTTTCAGGCTCAGCGGTACATTTAAATATTTAACTTCGCTACTAAAAATTTCTTAAAAGCAAAAATTTTCGATTAAAGTTAGTATTTTTCAAAATTGGTTTTTTATAAGTGGAATGATTTACTCGATATGGTCTCTGATTGAAGGGACAAGTTTTCTCTAAGGCAATTAATACGCCATTTAACAATTTGTTTGAACTACTTTTCGAAAAAACTTAGCCAAAATCAGGCTTTTAAATGCATCAACTGTCTGTTCGGGGGTGAAACCACGCTCAAAACGCATTTTCTTTTTAATTCTTCGTCATTTTAATTCTGAAGTAGGTAACTCCGAAACTACATTTTTGTAGGCTTTGGCGACTTGTTACGGTGTAGAAAAATGCTCCCTTTGCATTTTTTCTGACAGTATGAAAACAAGAAGAAATCACTGAGATCCAAGTCGAAGAAGAAGGAGAAGAAGAATCTGTAGGAATTGCTGTGATGGAGAAAGATGAACCGCCAAGGTAACGCTGTATGCTGACCCCAATGATATCCAAGGAGGAATTAACGCTAAACCCCTCATTAAAACATCGATTTACGGTCGCTGAATGTGGTGCTTCATCAGCAATTGTCGAATCAATCTTGCACTGCTCAGTGTTGCCCAGACTTAAGAAGCAACCCTCGCATAGTAGAAACAAGCATACAAACATATGTATATATATAAGTGCATATGAAAGCATTGACGGAGGACCTGTTAACTGCCTGTAAAACTTCTTTGCGCCCATATTGCCAAAGGGAAGTTGGGCAAAAAACAGCTGTGGTGTAAAGTTCAATGTCTCTTTTTTGCCCACCCGATAACAAAAACATACATACTTGTGCCTGCTGCCGAGGTTAGTGGCAAATATATGTACATACATATGTATGTATGTCGGACCTTCATGTAAATGGTAACCTTCACGACAATGCTATTATTGTTTTCGACGCTTTAAAAAGAAACTGCAAACTTCATTTTTGAGGACAAACATATAGTTATAAATAGTATATACAAGCACACATACAAAAGTATGTGTTAGCGCATAGCCTCAGGAAATCGCATCTCAGGGCCATAGACCAGCAACTATTGTACCATAATTTTCAATTATGTATTTTTGAACTGGCATTGAACTGAACTGTATTGAAGGATAATGCAATTGTATTTGCGTCATGGCAGTAAATTTGCGAAATTTGTTTCCTGTGAGACTCTATGCAACTCGTCTGGCTAAATAGAGAGCAGCAGGCGTGGCATGCTAGGAACAAATTTATTGCCAATGTATTTTTATTACAGGTTATCAAAATTCTGGGGAGTTTCCAGACCAGTGAGTGACCAGTTAGAGTTTTTACTCCGTACACGTTCACATAAAATCTAAAGAAAGCTGACAAAGCCTTGAGCTATATTTTGCTCGTGACTACTCGAGACGAGCTCACAACTAGAACTGTCAACTCCAAATTGCAAAATCCATTGTTACTCTGGGAAAAATTTATGGCTTGGTCTAAAAAGAAGGCTTGTTTGGCCTGCGCTGTCAAGTGCAGAGCCCTATGCCAGAGAAGAGCCATGGTTTGCCAAAGGAGGTTTGAATGGTCTACTCCTCACCCCCAGCAGCTTTTACAGAAGTAATTCCAAACAATGTACGGTGAAGGCAGCTACTGTAAAACAGATGTCACATATTTGGAGATTGAGGAAAGAGTTTCTTTTTGGAGCATTTAATGAAGTCCAAAGACGTCGAATCAATGCACTGAAATTGCAGAGAACGTTCCCTTTGTGAAAGAATTTGCAGGTTCATGTTTCAGACAAAGTCGTACCACTCTGCGCTAATTTGCCAGCTTTATAGTTTGGAATGGAATGGAATGGCCGGTCGCCGGAAAAACTATAAGAAAATATCTCCAAGCACTCAGGAAGTGAACATACTTACTGCTAAAATAAGTGATGGATGGAAAGCATATACATACATACATAGTACTCGGTTTGTGAGCCCCATGAATTAGTATCAATCAATCCGCTCGATGAGACCATTTATACGATGTTCAAAAGACTGAAGACCCCTTTTTTTCATACAAGAATTCGATCCGGTCCTAAAGCTTTCTAAAAGTCTTCGCATTTTCTGATAAAAATTTCGTTCGCTATTTCTATCGCCAACAGCTCAAAGCTTTTCACGCTCGGTCGATTTAGTCTCTTATTTGATATACGACGACTGCCTCTTAGCTTCATGAATATTTTTATGCTAGAAGCTGGTACTACATACTACCATTTTCCGGTACGTTGTCGGGTATATATCGTCGTTGAAGCTGAAATTTCCGACTGTTGGACTAAAAATAGCTGCTATGGCTAGGCCAGCACCAAACACAATTTCTATGTGACAACAGGAATCCGGCATCGAATTCGTGCTGCTTCACATGGCAGCTGTGGTATATGTCGCAAAGTTTTATGGGCTTTTTCCCTTGTCGCCAAACGGGCAGACTCATCTTCCTCATTAAGGGATCTATTGCATTGATCGAAGTAAAAAGTAGTTAGTCGCTCCCATTCGGGACTTGTTTAAACTGTTCATTGGAATTTTTGGTTTTTCTATACAGTTCCCCAAAATATGAATGCAACCAAATTCTGGGAGTGCATTTATCATATAGTATGAACGTATGACATAGCATATGAGTATGCAACTGTGTAAATAGCCACGTATACATACATACATATACATTCATGCATTTTAGTTGGTTTGGAAGGATTTTCCTCTCATTTCAGCTTTCACATCCTGTGAAAATCTCTCCTTACATTTGCTCACTTATTTCGAAAGTTTAGCAGTTTAGAAATAACAGTGAAAACTTCTACTTCAATGTAAACGGTGTGTTGGTTGGCCATGATTAACGTTTATGAGTATTTTACCAAATAAGGAAACAGCAGCAACAACGCCACGGAAGAGAGTGCAACGTAAGAGTTTACGGTTGAGAAGTTACTAGAAAAATGAATTTATTTGTACCTGCGCAGTAAAGATATTCGCACATACTTACAACTCGTAAAAAGGGAAAACGGGAGAGAAATCATGCTGCTACAAACTTTTTTCTGAGGGTGCATATGGAGCGGTGTATAAATATATGTACATATGTATGTATGTATGTGTACATTGTAGGCATATAATTTGTGTCTGCATGTATACAAGTAAGTAAACATAATTAATGCCTTAGCAAACAATTAAAAAAGTCAATAAATATCAATATTCATAGATATGCAGACGTACATACATATGTATTTACACATATATG